ATGATCGCTGAGACGGTAGATTTACTGGCCTTAGCTTTCGAACTCGAAATGGAGTTCATCATCAGAGACTGCTCGAGTTCAGAAACGTGTGAACATTTATATTGTTGTGCCGTGAGGGGAGGGGGACTACGTCCGTGGTTAGGTCTAGTTTGTGCCGCCCGACCCCAAATGGTTCCCCGGCGTGGTGCCGCCCTTTGTACTTCGCGACGATGTGAGCTGCGCCACCTGGCTGCGTGGGCGGAGTACGTGATAACATGCAGACAAATCAATGTGTCTATTGATGGAGTTGGTGTCCGACACCCCCGCTTCCAACAGTCATCGCCCCGTCTTGTTGCCGGCTCGCGCCAATATCCGCGTGCTGGCGAAGTCGAACTCATAGCTTTCCTCCAGCGTGTGAGTGGCGACTTGCGATAATGGGTCATCTCTCCGAACGGCCCGTTTGTGCTCAAGTATTATTGAGGTGAGACGCCGGCCTGTTTGGCCTGTATAGTGGCAAGGACAGTTATGGCACGGCATTTGATAGACTACGCCCGACTGCTCCCCTGCGTCCAGCTGATCCTTCATTTTCTTGATCCTGCTACGCATGGTAGTCGCCGGATGATGAGCGATGCCCACGTCTAACTCTGACGCAATGCGTTCTGTAGCCTCCGACACATTCTTTATATACGGTAGGGAGTGCCAAATTGTTGGTGTCTCTTCCGTTTGTCCGTCGTGGATGCATGCGTATGCAGCGGCTGATGAAACTATTTGGATAGCGGTTCTTTGTTGATTAGTCCCTGAGATGCCGCAGTTATTTCATCCTTCCTTCGGGCTCGCTACAGTGCGTTTTCACCCGGTCGAAAAGCGCCCTCACACAGTCCCGCTTGTGCACCAATGGGTGGTTACTATGATAGTTGAGGACCTGGGTTGTATTGGTCGCCTTTCTGTACACTGTAGTACTGAGTTTGCCATCAGGTGTGCGCGTGACGAGCACGTCAAGGAAGGGTTGTTTCTCGTCCCCCTCGTCTTCTCTTGTAAACTGAATGTCGGAGAAGACGCTGTTAAGCAGGTCTTGAAAACCTGATAGCCTGTCCTTTTTGAATAATGGCGAATGTATCGTTCACGTATCGGCGCCAAAACGTAAGTTTGTAGTGGGCGGTATCTGTTTTGCTGATGCGGTCATTGGTGCGCGCACCATTACGACCAGTGTCAGTGGTACAAGTCCTTTTTCGGAGTTCTCATAGGGTCCCTTCATAAGGCGACCCACATGTCCGTCAGGGGTTGATGCACATAAACAAATAAACGACGCCTGCGTGATTTATGGTGTGCCGTTCAAGGCTGTATTTCGACCATTTTCTCTGTCACCACCCCTGCAATCAAGATTTTTACACCTTCGCCGTCTGTAACACATCACCCAATTTCAAGTTGTAACCGGACTCTTAACTAAAATTTCGCTACTCTCTGCAAGTGGATAGAGTTGACTCCCTAGTCGCTTATAAATCCTTTCTTCGGGTGCGAATAAGTGAGGTGGCTTCAGCCGCAAGAGGGCGTAATTTTACGAACTATGGGAAGGGTAAAATTCTTCGCTAGATTCTGTGCAGTTTGTTACAGGGGTTAAACGAAAACTGAGGGACTTCGTCGCAAATGTTCATACATCAAATTTCGGTCTGTGCCTATAGACCTTAGTTTATACTGATCAACTCCAAGTTCGCAGTTAATTTCTGAGAAAATTAAAAAACAACAAAAGTTATTGTTTGGGCTGGAAAATTGCCCCTCCCCTGCAGTCTCTAATGGATATCAATTGCCAGTGAAGAGACGAGATCACTTGCGTCCGACAATAATGCATGTCCTTATTATGAAGAGGACCTTTGCCTGAGACAGAATTCGCATTGTCGAACTGTGACTACTTGTTAAAGCCAAGATTTGAGCACGTAAAATACTCCAGTAAATGATGCATAAACGGACATTTATTTGGGTGTGTTATGCAATAATCTCCGGAGGAATTGGAAAAGACAGCAGCCAATCCTAGGAGGCCAATAGTGTGCAGCAAACGCCCGCTTACACAAAGCCCGGTCGGTCATTGGTCTTCTGACATGTTTGGAAAGTTAAATATTTACCATATTTTTTGTAAACCTGACGACGATCTGGGAAACCAGTATCGTAAATTCGTGAAATTGGGATTGATGATTTCCCAATAAATTTCGCGACGGCTTATCAACTGCAGCCTGTCGTTGCATAACACAGATAACAAGTTAGAACGATACAGAAGTCTGAACTTCCACGGAGAAAATCAACGTAAAACAGCAAGGCCATCGTATACTGCATGTATACTGCATCAATAAATGGTAACTTGGAAAGCAACATAGGACAGAAAATGGCGAAGTTAACACTCCGAGGGATTTCGTAAATCGAAAGGACTCAGATCTACCAGGGCAAGCTGAAGTTGACAGTGCGGTTTAACTGTTTACATGGGTCGGGTTTCTCCCGCCGTATGTAGGCTGCCTCCAGGTAGCGCAGTAACCGAGTTGTTCGTGCTCGAACTAATACTCGAAAAGATGTTTTGGGGGTCAACCGACTGACCGCTATCAAGGAGGTGTTTTGTAATAAAAGACCGTGGAATCTTATTTTCCTGCTTTGAGGCCATTTAGGCAGGTGTTCAAGTGACCTGCCTGCCAGTTGCCTTTGCGTTCGCCCAGTGTACTTGCATCCACAAGTGCATGTAAATTGGTAAACACAATTTGACGTGGCGTGCAATGACAAGGCATCCTTCGCCCGTGGAACTTCGATAGCCTTAGTAGGACTGCAGAAGATGAGTTCAGCTGAGTTGTAAGTTCTTTCAATAGCGCATCTCAATCGCCGCTTGATAGTATTAGAGATGTTTTCGCCCTTAAAGGGTAAGGATATTATACCGAGCTTTTTCGGGACTGATTGCTCCTTCACTTTTGGCCGTAAAGTGTTGCTGTACTCCATAATGGACAACATAGTCGACACTGGACATATGTCGGCAGCCGGAACAATGCAAACGATTTTTAGACAGAATGCTATTACCGACAGGGACAAGGGAGACTGGAATGGCCATTTGCGGTTTATTAGCTGTCGTCGGCCAGTCATACCCAACCCCGAGGTGTAGAATACCTGGGGCTCGAACTTGCGACCCGTTAGTTAGAAGTCCAACGCCTTTAACCAGTGAGCTACGGACTCGTTGTCCTGTCGGTTGCGATCAGGAATATACAATGCTAGAGGGGCGCTCACCGATGCCGAATAAAAGTCTAAATGGGTTCGGGGGGTGCAAAAGGATTAGCCTTTTTGACTAAGCGCGACATCGCGGCCTCCCCTAGCTGTGGAGGTGAATCTGGTACTTGCGTAAGGGGCGCAAATCCAACGCGAGAGACAGCGTCGTATTCGCTTCACATCACGGTCGTATCGTGGACGAAAGTTAAAATCTCGAGGAAGTGCCTCGACATATAGAGGTAGGCCATTGCCAGTCTGTTCGACCCGGGGAGAGCCTATGAAGTGGAACCGAATCAGCCACCTCGAGGTAGTAAACTGGATCCAAACATTCGGCTGTGGCTGTTTAGCTACCTTTCAGATTAAAGTGGCCAATAGGCCGGGAATCCACATCCTGGCCTATCTGCCTTTCCTAAAAGATGTACTTTTTCAATGAAATCGCCATCGGTTACTGCAAACCAGGCTGTGGACGCGTAGTTGTAAGCCGCAGAAACATAATCCACCCAAGCTGACTCAGTAAATGTACTATCTGCTTCTGGTTCTCAGTTCTGCAGAGGCATGGAACCGCGAAACCACGGCGCATGTCAAACAGGACAAATAACGGGTTAATCAGGCACCTTTTTGATTATTTCGTGCTCATTTGCTGTTCGAATACTGCGCCTGACTGAGTCCTATAAAGTAAAATCGGCCCTGCAGTGACACACAATAATACATGCAGAGTGGAATTACTAACTAAGACGGGAGACGGGAATGGCTGTTTCTGGCTTGCTTGCCGTCGCCAGACAGCCATACACAACCCCGAGGTGTGCAACCCATGGGGCTTGAACTCGCGTCCTGTCAGTTAGAAGTCCAACGCCTCTAATCACTAAGCCACGGACTCTCTGTCCTGTCGGTTTCGATCGAGAATATACATTGATGGAGTCGGACGCTCACCGATGCCGAATAAAGGTCTAAATGGGTTTGGGGGTGCAAAAGGATTAGATGCTTTTACAGGAGATCACTCTGAAATGAGGGACATCTTCACAGTCATCAGGAATGACTGCCACCTCCGAAGCAAGGAAGAGGCGCCACTAACCAGTCCAGAGGACACAACCCTGCTGTCACTGAAAGCCCAGATCCCGGAACGTTGTTTCGCGCACCTCAGCGTTTATGTGCCAGCCGGCATCAAAAAAGGTCGACGAACCCACTGTATTCTCCGTACTAGTGAGCAGCTTGAAATTTGAGTAATTACAGGTAAAAAGTTTCTCGCCTTGTCGCATGCCCACTTTGATTGTTCTGCTAGTGACGTAAGTTATGTCGTTCCCGCGAACTAACGAACTACGGCTTACTAACCTCATAAATGGAGAGAGGTAAGGAAGGCCAGTAAGTGGATAAAGTTAATATTTAAAATGTGCAACGACCTGACCAGAGAGCATGCAAGCGGCGCGAAGCTTACAAGCGGCGGAGTCTTCGTCACGTTAAAACAAATGCTACACTAGATCGCAGTTGGTCCGGGCCCTGCACAGTGTGCTAGGCTTTCACGAAGGGGGACGACCCAAATCTCGCGTGCGCGTGAATGAGCCATGGGGATCACGTTAAGAAGGAGCCATTGAGCTTAACTCAGTCCTCCTGTAGTGGCCCAACTCCGACCGCCTGTTGGAACGCTGAGCTTCACGCAACTACTTGTACCTGCGCACCAATTTCATAAAAGAAGAAGAAAAGTCGAGCACCGGAACGCTTTGTTTATTGTCCTGAGTTTTCATACTCGTACAGGAGCCCATCGTCAGAGATAGTAGCAGCAATAGAACAGCCGACAATTATGAGGCATGTAGGCCAATCATCGACGGACTGCGCGAGACTGGAGGTGAGTACGCAGGGCACTGTACGTCGGCGCCAGACCGATAAATCGATTGACCGAGTTCTTCTCCGCGACCCAGGCTTCAATCAATTCTCGGCCTGTTTTGTTTCCGGCCCGGGAGACTATTTTGTTGGCTGTGAAATTAAACTCGTGCCACATTTCGTAGGTGTGGGCGGCCACTTGTGCTAATGCGTCGCCTCGTCGCACAGCCAGCTTATGTTCGTGTATGCGCGATCCGACCATGCGCCCAGTCTGCCCTGTGTAGTTACAAGGACAATGTTGACACGGAATGCGATATACTACTCCAGATTGCTCTTCAGGCTTTAGCCGGTCTTTGATTTTCACGACCCTATTGCGCATGGTGGCTTTGGGGCGGTGCGCAATTCCAATACTGAGCTCTGCAGTAATGCGCTCGGCCGCCTCTGAAACACCCTTGATGTATGGCAGAGAATGCCATATTGTCGGTGGTGTTGATGTCCGAGTCCTCTGGTGGCGATCGCGTAGGCAACGACTTATGAATGCCCTCGGATAGCCATTTTGCACAAATTGGTCGCGGAGATAATGGACCTCACGTTTTCTGTCTTCCGGTTTGCTGCAATGAGTTTGAGTCCGTTTGAAGAGCGTCTTCACACAACTTGGTGGAAGGTGCTTTTCAAATGTAACCGAACAAAAAGATCTTGGGATTAACATTCTGTCCACCCTTAAGCCTTCATCTCAGTGTGTTAGGGCGTCCAAAAGAGCAACTAGTGTTCTCTTTGCCATTAAACGATCTTTCGTGGACATAGACAAAGAGTTATTTGGAAAAGTATACGGAGCGTTCATTCGCTCGCATCTGGAATATGGAATCCAAGCGTGGCGCCCGTTGCTAAAAAAGACAATAAGTTGCTAGAAAGAGTTCAGAGGAGAGCAACAGAAATTGTAAAAGGCCTGAGGACTTTACCTTACAACTGCCGACCTAGGGAACTTAAACTTTTTCCTCTTGAGTACAGGCAGGTTCGAGGAGATCTCATACAGGCCTACCGGATATTGAGGAACGGGGAATGTGCCCTAAACCCCAACGATTTATTCACCCTGGCCACAACAACAAACCTGCGTGGGAACTCTCTAAAACTGAGAGGATCCCGATGCCGCCTGGACGTTCGCAAATACTGTTTTTCACAGCGAGTCGTCGGTGCCTGGAACGGGCTTCCCGAGGACGTAATAATGGCGGATACCACGGAGACGTTCAAGCAAAGACTCGATGCATATTTGCTTGGACACTATCGCTTGTCTGGACAGAACAGCTCTGTGGTGCTAAACCAACGCCTTGCATACTCATACCGCTAATGCGGATGACTGTCATTACATTTTACTGAAATCATCTACAACAGAATGTTCTCAAGTTTGGTTCTACATTTTCATGGAAAATATTCTGTTAAATGTGTATGTTATTGACAACATTTCAGTACCATGTTTATTTAAAGTGATATATTGCCTGTACCTTTTACAATAGGGTTTTCAAAGGCATTGCCTATTACTCTTAAAATATACTGACCTATACTGACCTATAGCTTTGTTTGTGAGTCACCGGATGGTTGCTGTAAAAACTGAGAATTTGTGTGGCGTTCGTTGCCTTCCTATAAACCGTTTTTTCCAGTTCACTGCTAAGGTTTCGTCTCACAAGCACATCCAGGAAGGGCAACTGCTGTTCCTGTTCTTCTTCCCTCCTGACTTTTATATCGGAGAAGACTGCATTGAGCAGGCTATGGAAATGTTACAGCATGTCCTTTTTTACGATGACGAACGTGTCGTCTACGTAAAGGCGCCAAAACACCGGTTCATGTTGGATGAATGCAATCTTTCCTAACTCCTGTAGGACCAGTTCTGCCACCAAATCGGAGACCGGTGAGCCCATGGAGGTTCCCTTGATTTATTTATAGGTCTCTCCTGCAAAAGTGAAGAGAGTTTGTTGGCAGAATTCAAACAGCCTCATGAGGTGTTCAATTTTGAGTACATTCTGAATCTCATCGTAGGCCTCTTCAAGTCTCCCGCGCAAGACTTCGCGGGCCAAGTTTGGTGGGATGGATGTGAATAACGACGTCACATCGAAGGAGACCATGATTTCGTCCGATGCTCGACTCTTCCTCCCCTGGAACTCGGAATTTCGCCTTCATTTGCACCAATTTCATTCTGGTTCCCTGCCAAGGTCGGCAGTCTGAACTGGCCAGTCGTCTTCGAGGCTGACTCATATGTGACCTCGCTGGAGGGGCTTGACGACTGCTCCACTTTCTCGCAGTTGCGGCGTCGGGCGTGTCCTCACTCGACTGCCAATTCCTACCAATCTGTTCTTTAACGGTTCTGTTCAGAATACAACATCCTCCCAAATGGCGTTCCACTTCTTCTCTTCTTGTTTGGAATTGCGCCCGACGGTCGTAGTCACTAGGGTCTCCCTAGTGACTTAAACTGCTGGGACACTCCGGCCGGTTCGCTTTCATCCACACACACGGTGCTGACCACGAGGATCGCGATGACTCGTCAACTGGAGGCCTTCCAAGCCATGGCTTTAGTGCGTCTGGGGCAGCCAGCCATCATGACCGGTCTGGCGTCATTGTTCACGACCTCGCTGTCTCAGGGTCATTCACCTCTAGCAGCGAGCCGTTGCAGACGCGCTGGACTGAAGTCACACGACCAACAGCCCGCGCATACCTGCGTCCGCACAGCTATAGCTAGCTGTTTATGTGGCCACATGAACGCACTCCATCCCCTGCAACCAGCAAAACAAGCCACTGGGACACCACCCCTCGGAAAATGCAACACCCACTAATTGGAGACCGCTTGAGTTTGGCACACGAGCCAAAAAAGCGGCTTCCACCACTGATCCAACGACTCTCAGGCATGACTGAACTCAGTCAACGCGAGCCCTGGCCATGCCAGTGGCCACTGCCGCCTGAGAGGACAACTCCGGTTACCGTGCACAATAAACCGCTCATTCTGGTGCCTTTTGTCTTCTCCTTATGACTTGATAATTGTAGCTCACAGACTACACTTATGCTCACTGCTGTGCCGCTGCACGTCGTGATAAATCAGTACATTTTAGGAAGAGTTTGCCTGTTGGAAAAGATAGGAATCGTTTGCTGTGTCTCATGAGACTCAAGCGACTAGAAACTTGTAATGAAATTGTAAAACTCGCCCTTACGCACATAGATGGAAGTCAGTCGCCAGTAAAGAGACGAGGCCATCTGTTTCCAGAAGCAATACATACAGTAGGTGTGCTAACTCATGAAATGATGAACGAGATTCTGAAATGCGCATTCGTTTCGAAAAGACTACTTAAGTAGGGCTTTAAAACTACTCATCTTGCAGCATAATTCTATAATAATTCCGCTTCCTCGGGATTTCCTCTTTTGAAAGAACGTATTTCCGACCGCATGCAAGAACTACACTGCAAAAAATGACTACTTAAGTAGCATGAATTTTTCTGATCGATTTTGGATGCTCTTAAAGATTCAAGCATGTTTCATGAAATACATGCCTAAGAATATTCATTCCTTCGCTCATTCAGTAGAAAATTACGTCTTCTTTTAATGTCCCCCTCGAAGGAAGGGTATAATTCGGTTTTTAAAAGGTTTACAATTGTGAGGTTTTTAATACCGTGAAATGCCCATTCATAAAACATCCTGCCTCTGCACTTACTAATGTTGCTTGTAAAGTTTATAATATGGCTAAAATCCATGGCTAAATTTTATGAACTCCACATGGTCTCCTTTTAATACTGAAGAGGAATATATGGTTCTCCGTATGAGAAAAATATACGGTTTGCAGTTTGGGGACCCTCAATGCAAGTGTAATGACAGGTAGAGTTTAAAATTATTCGGGAATTGAAAAGAGTTTTTAAAGACCGAATTATACCTTTCATTTGAAAATACAATGGGAAACAAAGTAATGTTCTACTTAATGAGCAAAAATGGATATTCTTATGCAAGTTTTCCATGAAATATAATTGAATTTTTAGGGACATGGAAACGAAGACGCATTTTAGAATTTCGGTCATCATTTCATGAGTTAGCACACCTACTGTACCTTGGATACCGGGTACCTTCGCTCGCGACAAAACTCGCACTGTTTATACCCGTCCTTCAAAGTAGGACGCGGGGCCTTTGAAGCTATGCACACGAATGCGTCATGCATCAATAGACTCAAACTGATAATGGCGTAAGTCGACCGATTATTTGTTCACATGCCAGATAAGTACTAATTTTAGGCATCTTTAGACAGTTAACGGTCTTAGAGTTACTAAAACTCCCATAGCAGTATTCAGAAGACGGGTTGGCCAGCATACATTGCTTTTGAAAAATTTGTCTTGGGGCAGTACAAGTAAACGCTAACGGGATACAGTAAAACATATCAGTGACTGGGAAATCGACAAAAGTTAGTTTTACAACACAGGCGGGTCGAGAGCGGAAGGGCACAGAAAGCTGACTGTGATCAGTCAACCTTTCACCACGGTAAGCGTGGGGCCTGAAGGAAGTTCTTCTGGGCACATAGTGCCGGTTTTCGTAACCTGGTTGCGGCCGCTTCTGCTGTTGCCAACAGACGCTGGTCCAATGGCTTAGGGTAGCTCGAGGGGACCCTATACATCGGTTTCCCACATCTGCTTTGCATTTAAAGACGATTTGAGGAACTGGTGACACTATTTACTAAATCAAGCATGCTGCTGTCTCAGAAGAAGTAATATGGTTACAATTTATACTTAATGAGGTATCTGTAGTAAAATATATATACTTGGTTAGGGAGAATTAAAACACAGTGGGAATGAGACAAATTTTATCGCGTCGATTTTCGGAACAAGTTTACAAGTCCGTTGCCCTACGTAAGGGTAATGCAGAAAAACACTTGAGTCTTGAGGGTTTCCAACAAGACTCTGGTTGGCTGAAATTCACTCCAATGGGCATCAGCTGCATTCGATGACCCCGTCGGTTTGGCTGCGTCCATCTCCCCCTTCCCCTGAGAATTTTGTACCTGGCATTTACAACTTTTGATGCATGAGTGCATTGATTCCTGGAAGTCATGATAGTCCCTCGTTGACATGGGCCAAAAATGTAAGTGTTTTTCCATGCAAAGGTGTGTTCAATTTCCGGTGTGTAAACGGCCACCTGGGATAGACGGTTTCGCCTACTTGCCACTAAATCATGTTCATATGTAGAAGGGGGAACGGGTTGGTGGCCTACGCGGAATACCATACGCCCTCTACCACAGTAAACTCTATCGCAAAAATTCCGTCTCCCAGGTAAATTGCCACTGCTGTCCTGGATAAATGAAAAGTGCAAATTGATTTCACGGAAGCAAAATTCTCTTTATAAACAAAAAGTGGTATGTTTATGATTACACCTGTCAATTCTATTTAAATATTTATTAGACATCAATGGACCCGACGGCAGGTGACCTTAGTAAAAATCCTGTTTATCTTAATGAATCGCATCTAAATCAATTCAAAAGCGTAAAGGATACCACGAATCCTTAGGATACCGTTTTGGAATCTATACTCTAACTGGAGGCTTTTGACGAACCGCCATACTTGAACCAATTTTTAAGGATATTTAAATGAAAACTTCGCTAAACTACTAGTTTTAACTGTTATTTTATTTGTACTTTATTTATTCAGTTTTTTTGCACGAGAAAACAGTCTGTACATCTACAAATGAAGCTTCTAAAATTACAACTATTTTTTACGTCTTCGGGATTTTGCGGTTTCAGAAAAATGGCATTTAAAAACAACGCAACATCACCTTTAATGATTTGTTAAAAATGTTTTTAATTCTTTTAAAGCTGTGCTGTATTAACATAGATATTGGGTTCACGAATTAGCGTCCGTTTGAGAGTGATTGGCAATCAGTCGTAAATTTTGGAGAGCAGACTTCGGGACGAAGACCAGGCTGATGCGGAGACATCGCAGCTTGGCCTTCAGTCTTGAGTGGGGCCCGGTCATTTGAAAACCCTTCATTTCATGACTACTGGTACCCACTGATGGTTTCAAGGTGCGTCTGATTGCTTTAAGATGAATAAGCAAGTGATGGATACATACCGAATCGCCCTCATTCTTTCTCCCACCTGCCCATTCCATACACCAGCGACTTGATCCAGTCAAAACCTACTCGGAATGAGATTGGCCGCAGAGACTGATATGGTGTGCCGTCACTGAGAATTGCGCCTCACAAACAATCGGGAGATGGCACCCAAAAAATCCGCTACCTAGAAATAATACCTTTAACAGTGGACTCAAACGCCTTCAGGCTATGTCAGCGGTTTGAGGCCTACTTTCACGCACTACTTAGACTTTCCGCGACGGCCTAACATGGGCTGGCCGAACAAACATCGCAGGAGGTTACATGGACAATGTTCGCTGTTGCCCAACATTCCCCATCGTTACGCACGTACACCTGAATATACGGCATACATTCGCATTATGGCAGTTTATTACAAAAGAAAAACACTTGTTAATAGGATAAGTCTGCACAGCATGGGACAGGAACAGTTCCCAGGCATCTGTCAAAGACATGGCATTGAGGTCAAATCAAAGACGATACTGTACTTCGTCTATGTGAATCCACACAGCTCGACCACATACAGGGCCTCCCTCGTAGAGTTTCCTTTTCAGTCTACTCCAGTATGCCTCAATGGCATTGGTGTGCCGTCTGGTGGTAGGGACCTTGGAGTTGTGGAAGCTGACCCCGTGTACAAATGCACTTTATGTGAGTTCCAGGGCTTCCCCATTCATATAAGCTGCACTGCTGTTGCTGTGATCCAAAACAGGGTTCTTCTTGGCTCCGGGGAATGAGATTGCCGCACTGTTCTGAGCCTCCCTGAGTCCTCGAGTACTGTCCTACGTGCGTGCAGCTTCGGCCGTGTCAGGCACCCTTTTGTTGTTGGTCAAAAACCGATTTTACGCCTTCTACTCGTCCGTTACCACTATACTGTCTTTGGCGACCCATTTTGTAATAACGGAACGGAGAGCGGGCCAACGTCGACCATTCACCCCTTCAAATAAGCCTTTCCATCGGCCAGTATCGTATATCCTGACCAGCCACCACCCATAAAACCCCTATTACCACCTGTCCCGTAAGACAGGCTGTTTTGGTTTGGCGGATTTTTTTTTGAGTGTCATCTTCCGATGGTTACCTAGAAGTCCTTGCAGTCTGCGCTTTAGTTGGGAGCAGGATCGATCTATCCCGTTAGCTGGTGGCGTCCCAAATGACGAATTTTAGTGAGCGATGGCAGGGCTAAGCACGTTTTACTTGCTGTAAAAAGGAATGTCCGAGATTGCCACAAAGAAACACTCCTTGGGATCGTTTTTCT